AGAAGGGGAAGATATGGAGGCAGTGACAGATTTTACCTTCTTGGGCTCCATGATCACTGCAAATAGTGATAGCAGCCCCAGAATTAAAAGATGTCTGCTTCTTGGGAGGAAAGCGATGATAAACCTCGACAGCATCCTAAACTGCAGAGACATCACCAATCCGGCGAAAGTCCGCATAGTCAAAGCTATGGTTTTTAGAGTAGCGATGTATGTATGAAAGTGGGAGCTGAACCATAAAGAAAGCTGACCGCTGAAGAATTGATGCCTTTGAATTGTGGTGCTGGAGGAGGCTCTTGTGAGTCCCCTGGACTGCAAGGAAAACAAACCTATCCATTCTGAAGGAATTCAACCCTGAGTGCTCACTGGAAGGACAGATCCTGAAGCTGAGGCTCCAATACTTTGGAAGAGAGTACTCCCTGGAAAAGACCCTGATGTTGGGAAAGTGTGAGGACAAGAGGAGAAGGGGACGATGGAGGACGAGATGGTTGGACAGTGTCACCAAAGCTACCAACATGAATTTGACCCAACTCCGGGAGGCAGTGGAAGACAGGAGGGCCTGGCGTGCTCTGGTCCATGGGGTCACGAAGAGTCGGACACGACTTAACAACTGAACAAGAACTAAATGAGGTTCATGGACTTTCCACATGTTTTTTTTTTCCTTCTGCTCTGAAATTCCTTGATTATTAGGGTAGGAATGAGCAAGTAATTTAGTTGGTGCTATTGTTAAACATGAGGGAATCATATACTCTGGCAAAACTTTGCATGTCATCCAGAGACCATGTCATCCAGAGACCTGACATAGATCTGCCTTCACCTTACCTCTCGGGCTGTTAAAAAGCCTCGGAGCAGTGTTGGACCTTGTTGCTGAAGAATAACAGGGCCAATCTTGGCAGGAATATTCTCTAAACTGATAAAGAGTTGCATCTGGCCTTGGTGTCCGAAGCCTTTACTCCTGCCTCCTTAGGGACGCCGTATTCCTACCCTTCCCATATTGGAACTTGGCTTGTTAATGGAAGGACTGCTGCAAATGCATAATGAGTTCCCAGTACTTGCTCACCCCTACTTTAAGGCATTGAAACAACAAAACTTGCCTTTCCACTTGGTGGTCTGGAGAAATTTTAAAAGATATATATAATCTCTGCCTTGTGGAAAATCCATGAACCTCATTTACTTCTTGTTGTTTAGTCATTAAGTCGTATCCGACTCTTCATGACCCCATGGCAGGTACATGTTTGCTCTTTGGAAATACGAGTGACTGACTCTAGGCAGCAAGCGCAGGGAGTACAGGCACTGGCTGCCTCCCAAGGACAATTTAATCTTTCCATTGAGAGAAGATTCTACAGATCTGCAGACAACCAATTCTGGTGTGCAATTTTAGACTTGCCGTGCAGCCTGGGATTGAATTTTCCCTCCACACCTCACATTCTATAGACATTTTTGGCCTTTTTTCTGACCATTTTTAACAGCACAGAGAATATTTTGTAATGCCAAATGGCTGGCATGATAGTGCTGACCACCAAATAGCATGGTAGGTGATTTTCCCCGTGTATACCAGCCCACAGCAAGAAGACGACAAAACTTTTAAGTGATATGTATTTATATACCTGTGAGCTGGCTAATAATGTCACAAATAAGACCGCTATGTGTTTGTGTGTGTAACTCCTCAGAATTGACATGTATGTGGAAGGAACAACGGACTTAATGGGGTTAATCACACTGTACCCTTTCCTGAGCCCTGAGGATAAGGAGAAACAACTTGCCAACATCACTGACAGAGCAACAAAAAGATACTTCCCTGTGTATGAAAAGGTACGAGTAATGTGTTCATGTAGAGCAAGGTGGGGGAAATGTGTGGCCTTCAGTATGGTGTTGATGATAATTCCTAGCAGAGCCAAAAGGTTGAGGTTTCATGGGAGTTGGAAGTCCACTGGCCTCTTGAGGGCCCTGGGTTGCCTACTCGTCGTGCTGTAGCAGATGGAAGAATCTTATTGTCTGGGCCATTTTACATGCTTTTAGAAGTGTATGCATGTCTTAAAATCTTATGCATGGAAAATAAAAGATGTGTCTTGAAAAGTTTGAATATCAGGACTGGGCCAAGAAAAAGAACAAGATAGTGCTCTTCTTTCCTTCAGCAGACACAGTCACAAAAAGGGGGCTGGACTGGATTGGTGCATTTTGTTCCATCACTTGGGAAGTGATGGTGACTTCCATCAGAACTGGGCGAATCAGGCCCTGTGCCACACACATCTGTGTCCTGTGATATGTGCATATGCTGGTCCACACCACTAATTTTTTGCATACGTTACACTTCTGAATTCATATTATGCCGTGATCTTGTGGAATCTGCCTGCACCCATAGCGGTTTAAATCATGTTTATTGTAGCCCATTGACCTACTCTTCACCCATAACAACCCATGTTGTTGGTCTTATGACACGACTGGTAATGAAGGGTGTTCCTTTGCTGCCTTTGTATCAGAATGAAGACCTGATCTCTTCACTCAGCATATTCAGATGCAAGGGGGGGGGGTTGGTTGGTCAGGAGATCAAAGTCAGGAGATTCTAAGCACAGCCTGGACCACCTCAGGTTATAAACAGGGTCATGTGTTTCACTGCTCCCACATGGGAAAACCTGAGTGCATAATGGGATCCACTGTCTCAGTATCAAGGAACACGGTCCGTTCTGCTGCTGCTTGAGAAACCTGCTGTCTTCACTCCATTTCTTTGTGATGGATGGCTGAAGCCCTAATTTACTGTAATATAAATGACAGATGAGGTTGCCTTTCTCTGGGTGCTTCCCCTCTGCTTTTTGTAGAGATGACTAGCATAGTGCTTTCATGAATAGTAACTTTAAAGTAAGCGCCACAGTCACTGCGTGCCTTTCTACATACTGTAGAACTGGCCGCACCCTTTCCTACAGTTTCCCTAGGCCTTGATGCTGGGTGTTGTGGTTCCCTACCTAGTGGTTGCATTGGGGAGAACTTGGCGGGGGGACCTCAAACCTCATTGTTTTTTCTTAAAGAGTTTCACCTGCCCTGGTATGTTGTTGTAGGTGCTAAAGGATCGTGGGCAAGATTTCCTTGTTGGAAACCAAATGAGCTGGGCAGATGTGCACCTCGTGGAGGCTATTTTAATGGTGGAGGAAAAATCTTCTGATGTTCTGGTTGCGTTTCCTCAATTGCAGGTATGTGGGGAGAAAAAAACACACATTCAACTTTACTTATTTTATTCCTTTCAAAAAAACTTATTCCCCATTCTTTCTAGAGATGAAAAACAAATGGGTTTCTGTAGAATCTTAGTGTATAAAATGTGTGCATTATTGCAGACGTTTGAGGGTGCAGGCCTGGAAAGGTCTACTCTGAACTAAGTCCCATTTAATTCAGTTTAAACCTTGGTAAGTCACACACGGCTCCACACCTTCAGGTGTTTGACTAGTTTCCCTATGAAGAAGCTCCTTATAAAACTGGCTAAAACATTAGTGAAGTTTCTTTAGAGCCCTATTTTTTTAATAACAAAAAACCCAAAATACAGAAACAGTTGTAGTAGAAAAAGAGTTCCTCCATTTAAGATCTGAAAAGCATGGAGTGGGGTCAGGTGGGGAAACACTTTCTGAAAAGATCAATGTAGCTGTGATACTCTGTAGCTTGGGCAGGTCCCTTCTCCTTTGTTGCGAATCCCAAATTCCGAATGCAGATGAACAACTTGCCCAGTTATATTTGATACAAGGAACCCCTTGATAAGACCCTTGGCTATCATATAGTAATACGTATGGACATTTTTGGACAACAGTTCCCAGAATTTCACAGGCACCTAGGTGAAATTCTGCAATTCTCCCAGCAATTCTGGGAGTTGCAGTATACAGTTTTAATATGTTCAGTTTATATGCTAAAGAAAATTCCAACATGAAACATCCCATTGGAACAGAGGACATACATAAATCTAGGGTAGACTGGAAAAGCCACGTTGTTCCCCTGATGTAGAAGTGGATGTTCCATACAGATAGACAAAAAGGGACCTGGTAACCCTACTCCTGATTCTCCATGTACACTTCAGGTCAGAGCTTGGAAAAGGTACTGTTTTAAAGTATAATTCCCACAATCCCCTAGTCCTCATGTCCACTGACCCTCTGGAGACTGGCTGGCTGACTTGATGTGCCATCACAACAAATGATTTTATAGACAACAGGTGTTACTGAAATGAATTCAGAGTAGCACTTGTTACTTTAATTGTAATTTTACCTGCCCGCTCGATTTCTGTCTTGTGTTCTTCCTTCTCTTCACCATTTTAGGCTTTTAAAGAAAGGATGAGTAACATTCCCACCATTAAGAAGTTTCTGGAGCCAGGAAGCCAGAGGAAGCCTCCACCGGATGATAAATATGTGGAGACCGTGAGAAGAGTTCTTCAGATGTATTTTAGCGTCAAATTAAATTAGCTACTCAAAGTAGGCTTCTTGACTTCAGTGCACTACGAGTGCTACTAACCAGTGATGACGACTGTGAAACGCTCTTACCATAAACCCTCTGCCGTTACATTAGAGATGAGAGTGCTATGTTGACCATTGGTATCTGATCAATGAGCTGCTTCTAATATAAATGCTAGTAGAATATTGTTACAAAGGGAGAGCACAATACGTGGAGATTTTATTATCAGTATGTTAATCTTTCTGTACTTAATAGTTGAAAAGAGAGGATGATAAGAAGATAGATTTGGAGCTGCTGGTAGATTTCAGCAAAGATAATTGATTTCCAATTATGCAGTAACAACAGTAGTTGCAGATTACACCACCACCCCAACCAATCTCAAATTATATCACTGAGCTGAAGAAATTTGGACCAGGAATGTAGTTTGTTTGTACAAGGATCATGACTTCCTTTCCAATCTGGTACTCTGGAAAAACAAAAAACAAGACAAAAACGAACTAATTTTTTAAAAAAAATCCTGGATGCAAGATCTCAACATTTTAAATACGTCTTTGTGCCAGGATTTGATTCGTGAATCTTGAGGTTCTAATATTAAAAAGAGTGAGGTCATAAGCTTGAGGTATTCTGCTTACCCCAGTTTTAAAGAGTACTCTTTGTATCCCCTTCCTCCTTCTTCCACTATTGAAATAAAGTATTGACAGAGAAGTTCAGATAACTCACATTCAGGGTGTGACAGCTCCTGGAGTTATTGGAGCTTTGTTCATTTCTACCTAGCAGTATAATCTACCAGCTTAATAAATTCACACTGTAGAACTGAATAAAGTCTACATGTTTCTTTAAGGAAATTCTGTCTCAGACTTGCCTTCCTTTCTATGCTGCTAAGCTCAGTTGGCAAAGGGTACAGAAGAGTTAGAAAGGTGCTATAAGGGACACTTATTTGAAGGGAGAAAAATGTAAAATCAAAACAGGCATAGGTATTGAGGCTTCACTGTGTTTAGCAATCTCTTAACATGCTTGCTTTTGATTATATGCAGTTTAAATTTTTTTTACTCCAGTAGCCATTCTCATGTAGCTCTCATACAGTGATAAACTAATAAAGCACTCTTTTCTGTTGCACAGCGAAACTGTCGTTTACCTGGAATGACCTTTCACTCACCCCAGAAGCAGGATCCTGCCAGTTTAAAGCATCTTTCACCCTTGGAACAGATAGAGATTTTAAACGGAGAGGGATCCGTGCTTTCCTTTTCAGAATATTCTTCTTGGAATTCAAACAGCTGGCCAGTGGCACTGCTTAATGTTGCAAGGGGTGGGCAACTTTGCATAACTGGAGCCCATGATCTGCCTAGGATCACATCGGTGGCTAAAACTGGAAGCCCACTCCAGTTTTGGAAAATGGGGTGGTGCTGTTTCTGTGACTTATTTAAAAGGGGAGCTGCTGCTTCCAGAATGTTTTGGTTTTGGTGGAGGGGGGCTGGGTGGCATGCAGCTGCAGGGCCCTAGTTTTCCTTCCCCGTTGTAAGGCTTGTTACAGTGGGCTATTGAGGCAGTTGAGGGCTGACCTGCTGCTGCTTAGCCTAGGAAGTTGGAAGGAGGAGTTTGCTCACCCAAGACCCACTGAGTCAATGGGCAGATTCTAGTCGTGGCTTTCTAACAAAGCATCAAAAGGTCAGTCCGTGGGGGGAGGGGGAGAGAGAGAAGGGCCCAATTTGGAAAAAGTATCATTCATGGATTGTAGGGTAAGGATAGAGAAGGAGGTAAAATAATTCTCTAGACTAAAGTCTAGAATACCTCAGCAGTCATCCTGTTTGGGGGCTCCTGGGAGTTCAAAAAAAAGTTTATCCTGTCTGGATATGGCTTTTCCACATTTAGTCATACTACAGCAATGAGATAAGTTCCAGTTCTAGTTGTAGCTAAAGTGAACTCTGGAGCTGACCAAAGTCTCCTCCTCCTTGTTCCCGTGCTTAAAGTCAAAAGGCGGAACTACACTCTCCTGTTTAAAAAAAAAGAGTAACAAATCCACAGTAACTCCTGTTGTAGCACATGGTGTTGAATTGTCCTCCATTTCAAAATGGCACACAATCTAGTTTTTTCCTGCTCTATAGGTTTTATAGGTACGCTACAGTATGGGGTGATACAAGATGACTGCTTTTCCCTGCTGATTGCAGGCTCCTTCCCCAGCTCTCTTCTTTCCTCCCCCACCCCCTTATTTCTCTCTCCACTGCCATTTTCCCCTTTTGTGCCCCTGTGTGCACATAGGGAGGACATTCCTTTTTTAAAAAAAATGTATTTAACCTCACACATCCGAAGACGCACTTATGGCCCTTTTTGTTTTTAAAGAGGGGGCTAGTGATGGGGCATGATGTTCCTGTCATGTGCTCTCATGCCCAACCCTGATGGCAACTGTAGAGACTATGGATTAAAACACAGGAAAAAAAGAGCTGCAACTCTTGGCATGTATTCCAACTAGGGTCACATCTGTTTGCGGTTAGCCCACAGCAAATACATTTTCCCAGGTTTATTGCAGGGGTGTAGTTCCAGCCAAAGTCCTGGCGCTCGAGACATTTCCTAGCCCAGAGTACCTGCAAATAAATGGTATTGCTATGAGATTGGGCAGCGTGGCTCTCATTACCTGAAGGAACAGTCAGATGGACAGAATGGAGATACCTAACTGCAGCAGTGCTTCACCCATCTGCCTGAAATTGGGCTCAATCCCATGAGGCAAAATCCCAGGTGAACAGGAGTACAGTGGGGTCTTGACTTGAGAACTTAATCCGTATTGGAAGGCGGTTCTCAAGTCAAAAAGTCTGTAAGTCAAGTCTCCATTGACCTACAGTGCATTGAAAACCGATTAATCCCGTAACAGGCCGTTTTTGTTCCATTTTGGTTTTTTTCTGGTCTGTAAGTCAAATCTCAGTCTGCAAGTCAAACCTAAATTTTGTGGCCAGAGAAATCTGTAACTCAAAAAATCTGTAAGTCAAGCCGTCTGTAAGTCAAGGGTCCACTGTATAGAAAGTGCTGTTACCTTCTCAAACAAGCATGATACATGAAACGGCCTTAAGGGGGCAGGGTTGTTTCTTTTTTAAAAATGCATACTACTTTTTCCCCAGTCATAACAGGCAAGTGTCCAACACCTAAGATTGCTGTTGATAGATGAGGATTCAACGACTGTTGCAGTCCAACACCGTCCAGAGTATTGCATGTCTTCCACTGCTGGTTTAACTAAATAAAAATGTTTCCCACCCCTTCCTTAAATAGGGAGCAGAATGCTGGTGCTATTGGATGCGAGTCTAAGTGTAAAGCAGTACTAAGATTAGTACAGTGTTTACTTCCACATTGAGATTTTTTTGGTCTTTATTTTGCAGCATGTTCCATGGTGTTTTCTGACAAATATGAGAATTACAATGTTTTTTGAGTGTTTGGGTTACAAACCTTATATTTCTTTATCTGAAGGATCATTCCAATGGCTCCCCCACTGGGCATGTTGACTATGAGAGTATGCCAGTTCTATTTCTTGGCATCCCCAGATACTGGGTTTCATTTCTATACATTATTACTGCTGCAACAAAGAAGCACTGAAATGGCAAAAAGCAGTAGATTTGATGGGGACACTTTTTATCCCACTTTTTTGGAGGGGATCTGTTTCCTATTAAGGCTGCAATTTGGAGACCTTGTTTTCAACATCTCAGGTGACAGCATCACAAATGCCTGCATTTTGGACCTAATTCTGTGTGAATTCTGCAACAAAATGGATAGATGGAAACGATGGCACTTGCCAATCAGTTGAGATGGCTTGCTGCCCTCTGCTGGTTGTTCACTTGTTTTCTTCTTGTTGTAAATCTCACTTCCTAGCTGCGCAACAGTTCCATGCTAAAACACAGTATGAATAAATATTTGTACTTTTTTTTTTAAAAAAATAGTGATTGGATGGCCATTTGTCAGGTATGCTTTAGCTGTGGATTTCCTGCTTCATCAGAAGGCTAGATTCAGTGAACCCACTTCCAACTCTGCAGTTGTGTGATTCCATGTATAAGGTGTCTAACTTCCCTTTATTTTTTCAACACATATCAGATTACCAGATGTGCCTTTTGTGTCTAAACACACCAAAACAGACAACAAACACCCCAAACTCTTTAAACTGTGATGGGCCAGATGGTCTGATCAAGTGACTTTGGTCCACATGAGCCAGGACAAACATAAATAATCCCACAGATCAGCACAGCTGTCTCCATCAAGAACTCCACCCGATAAAGTCCAGACTCCAGATTTCTAGTGCTTGTGTTCTGCTCTGGTTCTGCTTCTTGGTCTCTGTTGTTCCTACATTCTAGGGAGTTGACTGCTCTGTCTGTTTCTTTGCTGGACTGTGTTGCTTAGAAAATGAGAACATTTGTTTTGCACTGAGCTGGAAAGAACTTTGAGCAGCAGAACCCAGGATCTTTGCCAGAAGACTTGTCGACGATCAGCTTTGGGCAGCTAAATCACATATTTGCAAATACCCTTAAAGTGTGCTAAAGAGAAGATGGAAGTTAAAGAAAACCATCTGCCATAACAACAACAACAACAACAACAACACATCAATCACCACCTGAATCTTTCTTTAAAATGTGCCAAACATATCTTTTGGGTTGACTCTTTAACTCCTGAAAATAGCACATACTGATCATTTAGGCTGAAGTTTTAGGGTGATTTTAATTGCAAGCATGGCTCTGCAGAAATTTGACCTTCTGTTCCTTTTTCTTACTCCTTGTGCACGTCCCTCCCAAGTCAGGAGGCAGCAAACAGTTGTTTCAAAAGCTTTTCCGGTGTAGGTGATTCTGGTCCAGGAAGTAATGGCAAATCCTGCTTAAACAGCAACCACCTGTGAAAAGCATTTTGGGTTAATGTAAACAGAGGACGTTTCAGGTGACTTGCATGAGTAAAAAATATTTCTGTGGGAGGAGTTCCGTGAAGAGACTGAGAAACAGTCTCTCGTGCAACATTAGGAAGGACTGCCTGAAGGTTAAAAACAAAGACTCATCGAGAGAAGGTTAGTTACTGAAACTTACATTCAACCAATTCTGGTGTCACTGTTTGAAGACGACATGAGGGAGGTGGGAGAAAATATGTTGGTGTCAGTGTACCTTATCTACGTTAGAAAGAGCCACGGCTACAACTCCAGGCTGGGTAAAAACTGGCTGGAATGCAAAGTGACTTTCATCTCACTTCTGAGGACATAAGCCCTTCTGCACTTCAAAATGGTGCCCAATGCACACTATTTTGAGATGCAGTAAAGCTTCTTTTGTGGTCAGCCAGGCTTCTCCCAGTGGGCAGCTCTGTGGCAGGGGCCAGGGAGGGCAGGGGCCGGGGAGGGCAGGGGCCGGGGAGATGTTGCCATCATTGTCTTTGGTGGCCGGGAAGATGGATCCCTGTTGCTGCCGCCACTACTGCTGCTATCCACATGCCCCTCAGCCACTGTCCTTGCCCAGCTGCATGAAACACACAGGATAAAACTGCACGTGTTTCAAGTTGGTTTGTGCTGATTTGCAGATAACTTGCAGGAAAAAGCTTGCTGTGGATCATCTGCAAAAATGAAGTTCTTGGCACTTGGGAAAGAAAGCAGTTGGATAGGTGTTTGTAGAAACTGGTACAGAAGAAACTGAAAATGACTTGCTGTCCTTTGTCTAATATGAGAGGGATGATGTGTCGGAGGACACTTTCCTGATCAGCCTTTCCATCATGCTTAGAAATACTTCATTTCTATATGCTGTATTTCTCCTTCTCAGGCAACTGACAGAAGAAATCAGCAAGGTTAGAAAGATGAGAACTGAGGGTTATGTTTTTCTTGCTTATGACAGGCCTGGGGAACCTCTAAATGCTGCTGGACTCTGGTTCCATGTGCTTCAGCTCACATGTCCAATTATCAGGAATGCTTGGAATTGTAGTGTAACATCGAGTTAAAACTAAATAATAAACTCCTACGCCTACTTGTGGTAATACAGTGGTGCCTTGCTTAACAAGCGCCCCGGTTAACGATGAAATCGCATAGCGATTTGGTTTTTGTGATTGCAAAAGCGATCGCATTGCGATGTTTTAAATGGGAAAAAATCGCTTTGCGATGATCGGTAAGCTATTTCGCTTACCGATTTTCGCATAGCGATGTTTTCCCAACAGCTGATCGGTGGTTCCAAAATGGCCACCGGGTAAAAAACATGGCCACCCGCTGTTTTTTGGGACAGATTCCTCGCATACCGGGCAGCGAAAATGGCCACCGTATGGAGGATTTTCGCTTAAAGGTAAGTTTTTTGCCCATAGGAACGCATTGAAGGGTTTCAATGCATCCCTATGGGCTTTTAAAAATCGCTTAGCAATGTTTTCGGTTAGCGGCAATTTTTGCTGCACCGATTAACATTGCTAAGCGAGGCACCACTGTGGGCCCGTATTCCCTAGGTGCTCAGAGGCAAGCAACAGATTTTGCAGTACCAGTGTATTTTTGCCATCTATCCATGGCATG